GGGGGCGCCTGGGGCCCGGGGGGGGGGGGGGGGGGGCGCTGGAGCCCAGGAGTTGGAGGTTGCCGTGAGCTGTGATGCCACAGCACTCTACCCAGGGGGATAGCTTGAGGCTCTGTCTCAAAGAAAAAACAAAAAGAAAGAAACTGTAGACAACACATCACTAAAATAAAGAAAAAAAAATGAAATTTTAAAAAAGAAATTGTAAACAATTTACAGAATGGGAGAAAATATTTGCAAGTTATGTATCTGATAAGAGTTTAACATCCAGAATATATAAAGAACTCTTACAATTTAACATCATAAAAGCAAAAAGTCCAAATTAAAAATCAGCAAAATAATTTACTAGAAGTTTCTCTAAAAAAGATATACAAGTGTTTAACAAGCACATGAAACAATGATCAACATCATTAGACATTAGGGACATACAAATCAAAATCTCAATGAGATACCACTTCATACCAGTAGGATAATTAAAAAAAAAAAACTAAAAAATAACAAGCGTTGGTGAGGATATAGAGTAATGGAACCTTTGCTGGTGGGAATATAAAACTGTGGCCAGGCTGAGCAGGGTGGCTCATACCTTAATCCTAGCACTTTAGGAAGTTGAGATGCAAGGATTACTTGATACCAGGAGTTCAAAATCAGGAGCTTAAAACTTTTGAACTAGACAACATAGTGAGATCTCATCTCTAAGAAATTTTAAAAATAAAAAATAAAATGGGTTAGCCACTCTAGAAAATAGTAGGGAGGTTCATCAATAAATTAAACAAAAATTACCATATGAACCACCCACACCTAGATAATGTCTAAAGGATTTGAAAACAAGTACTAAAAACTTGTACACAAATGTTCACAGCAGCACTTCACAACACCCAAAAGTAGAAACAAAACAAATACCCTGTCAACTGGATATTGACAAGAGGTAACTGTATCAACAAAATATAGTATACACATATATATCAATAAATGGAACATTTAGTCATAAAAAGGAATGAAGTACTGATACAATACAGATAAACCTGAAAACATTATGCTAAACGAAAAGAGTCATGTGGCTGGCTGTGGTGGCTCAACACCTATAGTCCCAACAGTTGGGAGACCCAGGCGGGTGGATTGCCTGAGCTCACAGGTTCATGATCAGCCTGAGCTAACGTGAGATCCTGTCTCTAAAAATAGCCAAGACTGTGGCAGATACCTGTAGTCCCAGCTACTTGGGAGGCTGAGGTAAGAGAATCACTTCCACCCAAGAGTTAGAGGTTGTAGTGAGCTACGATGCCACAGCATTCCACCAAGGGTGACAAAGTAAGACTCTGTCTCAAATTAAAAAAAAAAAAAAGAAGAAAAGAAAAGAAGAGTCATGTGAAATTTGCAAACTAGATAAATCAATAGAGACAGAAAGATGATCTATGGCTGTCAAGGGATAAGGGGAGGCAGAAATGAAGAGTGACTATTTAATGGGCACAATGTTTCCTTTTGAGTTAACAAAAATATCTGGGAACTAGATAGACGTGCTTGCACAAAACTGTGACTGTACTAAATGTCACTGAAATGTACACTTTAAAAGAGTTATCTTGGTATCCGAATTCTATTTCTATAAAGAACAAAGTATCAAAACAAAAGTAAATTTATCTCATCTTACTGTGAGGGTACAACCAACCAGGTGAAAATATTTGATTATATTAGGTAGAATCCCTCTCATGGTAAAACTCAGGTTCTAAAAACATGAAATTTTAATTGCAGCCATGGCACTGATGAGAAACAATTAATGAAATTATTCATTTATATATTCAGACTTTTCCAGATTTAATCAAAAATTTTCATTAGTACTAGTAAAATGAAGTTCAACAAAATCTGTTAAACTTGAGGAACAGGGTTAGTATTACCCCAATGATGCATTAAAAACTAGTACAAAGACCTTACTATTAATGAAGTCTCAACATCAAACAAAATTAACAGTATGAAATCAGGGATGTAACTTTTAGCCTAAGATATATGATACATCTAATTCTACTCATATCTGGCTGCAATTCAGTTCATAACTGAAAAGGTGAATTAACTTTCATGAATCGCTTTCCTCTCATTTGGAAAATAAAGCTCTAAGTGGTTAACAACTCAACCAGCTTTAGACTATATTCATATTTAAAACAGCCTAATAAGAATGAATATTTACATATGACATAATGAATATACTGATTCAAATTTCCAGTCTCTTAGTTCTGGAATAAAATAGATTACTATAGCATGTTCCTAAGTGCTCATTTCAGCAACCAGAACTTCTAGCATTGTATACAAATATAGCTATATTTAAGAAAATATAAAAAGTAGTGATTAATAAATAGGGATTAATACTAACGTCTTTAAAATACTAGGTTCAACAAAAGGAAGTAAACTACCCAATTTATGGTACTTTGTTTACAGCAGCCTCTACAAACTAATACAAACCCATTTTATTTTTTATATTTACAACTTAAATTTTTTTTATAGTTGATTCAAATATATATGTGTACATATATATACACACATATATATATCCCAGAAAATAAGTTATAAAAATGATGACACTCGCCACAGCACTCTAGGGCCCAGGGCAACAGCTTGAGGCTCTGTCTCAAAAAAAAAAAAAGGGAGGCGCCTGTGGCTCAGTGAGTAGGGCGCCGGCCCCATATACCGAGGGTGGCGGGTTCAAACCCAGTCCCGGCCAAACTGCAACAAAAAATAGCCAGGTGTTGTGGTGGGCGCCTGTAGTCCCAGCTACTTGGGAGGCTGAGGCAGAAGAATCGCCTAAGCCCAGGAGTTGGAGGTTGCTGGAGCGACTCCACTGTACTCTACCGAGGGCAAAAAAGTGAGACTCTGTCTCTACAAAAAAAAAAAATAATAATAATGATGACACTCAAGTGATGGACAAATGCCCAAGAAGCAGTATGACCAATTGGGATGTATTTGTACTGTCTGATGGGAAAAAAAGAAAAATGATGACACATGGGGTATACAATCCAAATCAGTGTACAAACCTGTAGTTCAGTAAGAACTGTTTTATGCCTCTTGTTACATTCAATCTTTTCCACTCGTGCTTTCAATTCTGCCAAAGTCTTATCAAACACAGCACACTGTAATGCACATAATTTTTCTTCCAGCAACCACTGTACAACCTAAAGAAATATATATTCCTTTGTTATGCAAAGAAAACATTCCAGCAAGCAGCAAAAAAAATTCTTAAGTACTGATGAGACAGTAATGATGTACTAATTAATTTAATGAATAAAACATACTAGAATCCATTAACACACAGTGGATTTAGCTATCTGCTAAAATTCTCCACTTTGCTACATATATAGTATATACTTTAAGAGGGAATTACTAAAAATAGAAAATCTCCAGGGGGTAAAATTTTGAAAATAATTTCAAGGTATAATATTTCATGCTCAAACCACTTAAAAGAAAGGATCAGTTTTTTAAACTTCTATTACAGATTGATATTTTTGTGAGATACACTAAGAATGTCACTGTAACACCAAATTCCTATAACATTTCTAAATACCTACTCAAAATTTCCATATTATCTCATAACAGACCCACAACAAACAGGACACTGGTACATATCCATGAATCACACTTCAGTAACACTATTCTAAAGCATTAAACTCTCAGTACACATGAAAGGTTTTGTAATTCTTTCACACAGCTATCTTCATAATTCTAACAGCCATATAAGAATGAGAAGGCAGGGCTAGGAGCAGCAGTGGTTCACGCCTGTAATCCTAGCACTCTGGGAAGCCAAGGTGAGTAGATCATCTGAGCTCAGGAGTTCAAGACCAGCCTGAGCAAGAGCAAGACCCCATCTCTAAAAAAAACATAGCCAGAGGGAGGTGCCTATGGCTCAGTGGGTAGGGCACTGGGCCCATACCGAGGGTGGCAGGTTCAAACCAGGCCCCAGACAAACTGCAACAAAAAAATAGCTGGGCTTTCTGGCAGGCGCCTATTCAGGAGGCTAAATCAAGAGAATTGCCTAAGCTCAGGAGTTGGAGGTTGCTGTGAGCTGTGTGATGCCAGGGTACTCTATCAAGAGCAATAAAGTGCGACTCTTGTCTCTACAAAAAAAAAAAAAAATAGACAGGCATTGTGGCAAGTGCCTGTTGTCCCAGGTGCTTAGGAGGTTGAGGCAACAGGATCACTGAGTGAAGTTGCTGTGAGTTATGACATCACAACACTGTACCCAGGGCAACAAAGTGAGACTCTGTCTCAAAAAACAGAAAGAAACAAAAAACAGAATAAGCATTATTATCTCCATTTGGAAACTTAACTGGGAGGGGGAAAAAACACTTTTGTACTGCTTCACTATTCCTTTTCCTAATAAGTATAGATATTTGATCTTAGTAGAAGAGCCTTGGACTGACACTTTAATTATTTGTAATTTCATCATTAAACATGTAAGATCTTAAAAAGCTAGTACTGGCTCGGCACATGTAGCTCAGTGAGTAGGGCACTGGCCACATACACTGAAGGTGGCAGGTTCATGCCCAGCCCAGGGCTGCTAAACACCAGTGACAACTGCAAACAAAAAAATAGCCAGGCATTGTGGTGGGTGCCTATAGTCCCAGCTACTTGGGAAGGTGAGGCAAGATAATTGCTTAAGCCCAAGAGTTTGAGGTTGCTGTAAGCTGTGACACCACAGCACTCTACCAAAGGTGACAAAGTGAGATTCTGGCTCAAAAAAATAGCTAGTATCACTTGAGTTTCACATTCCTCACTTACAAAAAGAATTTAGCATAAACATTTGTGAATATGCTTTGAAAGATATAAAATATACTGAATATGTATTTTTTTCTGAGACAGGGTCATTGTCACCTAGGCTCGCATGCAGTGTTGTGATCATGGCTTACTTGTAACCTCCAACTCCCAGGCTCAAGACAGCCTCCTGCCTCACCCTCCCAAGTAACTGGGATCACAGGTACACCCCCACCACAAACAGCTCACTTTTTTTTTTTTTTTTTTTGAGACAGAGTCTTCCTACGTCCCCCCTTGGTAGAGCCCCATGGTGTCACAGCAACCTCAAATTCTTGGGCTTAAGTGATTCTCTTGCCTCAGCCTCCCCAGTAGCTGGGCCTACAGGTGCCCACCACAACGCCCAGCTATTTTGTGGTTGTAGTTGTGCCTGTAGCTCAGCGGCTAGGGTACCAGCCACACATACAAGAGCTCAGGCAATCCACCTGCCTCAGCCTCCCAGAGTGCTAGGATTGACCCACCGTGCCCAGGCTAATAATAATGTACTTTAAGCTCAATGATTTTCTTTAAATTCTCTCTTTCTATGATAAACCAGATATGACAGTAAAATGCAAAATAATGTCAAAAACCTAAAAGAAAAAAGACGGTGGTGCTTTTTATTCAATATGGTTTTTAACTTATAACTCTAATACCTTTTGAAGTTTCTGATTAATGTCTCCTTTGGCTGTTATCTTTACTTGAAATTCTGCCTCATATTCTTCTTCCATGTATCGTCGACGTTTGGACTGTACATTGTCCATGTCCTCTGATTTAGAACGTTTTCTTCTAAAAAACTCACCTGAGAACAAAGATCACAAAGATCAGTCAGATGTTCTCATTATAGACCTTAATGCCTATTATCCATCCACAGCAAAAAATTACTTCAATCTATTACACCAACATGTTTAATACATTATTTTACAAATTGTTTTTGAGATCAGAAAAATAGCTTTTAGCTTTAAACTTGAAATGATTTCTGGCTCAGCGAGCTCAGCGCTTAGGGCGTCAGCCATACACACTGGAGCTGGCGGATTCAAACCCAGCCAGTGCCTGCCAAACAACAATGGCAACTACAACCAAAAAATAGCAGGGTGTTGTCGCAGGTGCCTCTAGTCCCAGCTACTTGGGAGGCTGAGGCAAGAGAATTGCTTAAGCCCAAGAGTTGGAGGGTGCTGTGAGCTGTGACACCACAGCACTCAACCAAAGGCAACATTGTGAGACTCTGCCTCAAAAAATTAAAAAAATAAAAATAAGAACAAAAAAACTTGAAATGATTTCAATATGCTAATAAGAACCTCCCAATTGGCTCGCTGCCCATAGCTCAGTGGTTAGGGCACCAGCCATATACACCAAGGCTGGCAGGTTCAAACCCAGCCTGGGCCTCCTAAACAACAATGATAATTTCAACAGAAAAATAGCCAGGCGTTGTGGCAAGCACCTATAGTCTGAGCTACTTGGGAAGCTGAGGCAAGAGAGTTGCTTAAGCCCAAGAGTTTGAGGTTGCTGTGAGCTGTGATACCACTGCACTCTACCAAGGCCAACATACTGAAACTCTGTCTCAACAACAACAAAAAAGAACCTCCCAATGGTTAAAAAATGCACACTGTGAACATAGAATAATCTTCATATTAAAATGAAGAACTAACAAATGTGTCATGCAGAAGGTAAAAAAAAAAAATCTCATATTCATTCCTTTAGCTAAATTTCATAACGCACATGAACCTTCTGAAAAATTATTTGTTCTGTCACAGATTTCTTTTTTTTTTTTTTTT